CCCCCCCCCTATATCCGCGCCTGCAATGTACCAACCTATACCAATCTGGCTCCCGGAGGTTAAAAAATAACCAAACAAAAACAAAAACAAAAATGCTTTGTGTCAACATTTTCTTTTGGCTTTATATGTCTCTGAATTTTTGTAACACCTCTAATTAATATTATGATTACCAGGTAACTTCCCTAAGAATTCACGCATTACACAGCTAGCTTCTTGATCCTCTGTCCTGTTACAGGACAGGAAAAAAGATGTACAGCTAGATCGGGATTCGAACCCAAATCATTGAGAAAATATGGATTTTTTTTATTAATTTATCACCAGAACAAGAAATTAGACTTGAGCACAGAATCTGAGTTTGAGCATGAGAACGGTTTCATGAATACGGACCCAGCTAGGATTTGAACCTCTAGACGGACGCTCTAACCAATATGAGCTACGTACATACATGGCCGTCGGCAGTCGTCACATTTAACAGATTAAAGTATTTTCATTCTCAATGCTAAAAAAAGGGCAGAGAAAAAAACGAGAATTTAATTAAGTTCGCTAAATCTTGTAGATCTATTTCCGATGCAAAAAGACGAACGAAATTCATTTTTGTGAATACGAAAATTTTGTCAAACTTCAGAATAACATATCTTTATTCTCATTGATCAGTTTCTGTTGAATTATTGTTAATCCATATACCAAGGGACAGACTGGGAATAGTTTTCCGCCAGCTGAGCGTTCCAGACAAACGATCGAGGGAGAACTTGTGTGAATCCCACGTAAGAGAAAGGCGATCGAGGGGAGGTAACTCGTGTGAACATAGGCTTTACGTTCACACATAACTGTTTTACTTATTACAAACTAAATTTATTTTAATTTCATATTTGTATGGTTTATTAAGTATACTGACACTTGATAATTCCACTTCCTTGCATCTCATAACTGACAAGGAAAATACCATGGCTCGGTGGTATGACAAATTCGTTATCTACCCGATTAGGTGGAAAATATAAGGACTTAAAATTTCCCAAAAGAGAGATGTGTATTTCCTGCGGCTAGGGAAACATAAAATGATTGCAGGGGATATGAACCTGTATACCCCGCCTAATAAGATAGATAACGTAAATGCATCATTTACATTGTTAATTAGTACTAATCGGCGTACATGTTTTCGTCTTTTCGCTGTGGGATTTGTCGTCTCAAGTTACTATTTTATTAAAGGTTGGGGGGTGAAAATGCGAACGAGCGAAATTCAAAATTCAAGCAAACTAATAAATCTAATTTTCTTGGAGTAAAAAGACGAAACAAGCAAAGGTTTGAAAGGGACTTAATTTCGTTCTTTTTGGGCGAAAAGACGAAACAACGAAAAGGCACAATTCAGCCACCGTACTCTCCTAACCTCACAACAAGAAGACCGCTCATTATCGCTCTCTACACCCCTGGAATATGTCATAGCAAAATTGAAGGCACGAAGATAGCTGTTTGATTGGTCTCAGGTAAAAAAAACCCGGACCAATCGCTAGGCTGATACCTTTCCTTTGAAGATTACAAAGGAGAGACGCCCGATTTCAAAGCCTGTCATTTTTTACCGTTACGTGACCGCGAGATTCTTTTGATCGAACTAGCCTTCTCGTCTCATCAACAGAGTGGTGCACACTGAGCCTTCGATTTTTGCTATGACATATTCCAGGGGTGTAGAGAGCGAAAGTAAGCGTAACCCCTGGGGCTATCGAGGATGAAAGACCCTAAGCCCCTACCAACCCCTCAGCAGTCGGGGACTTTGAATTTTCTGTCCTTTCTCACTGTGAGTGTCCGCATGCACGTGTAGACAGTTATTAACCAGGTACACGAGTAGACAATGTACGTGATTATCAGAAATCTTTACAGAAAACAATTAAAACTTCAATATATTTTATATTTATTTGTAAAGACAAGAATATGAGAAAGTACGACAATATCAATTGGACAGCTAGAATTTCTAATCTCACGTAATGTGCCTCCTTCCCCTCCCCTCACAATAAATAAAATAAAAAAATAAAAATAAAATGCCTATCGAAACGACTTATAAATATGTATCAAGTTCATAATGTATAACATGGAAATTTGAACTTAAATGGAAAAAGAGAAGAGAAAATTGTGCTGAAAATGAAGAAAATGAAGTACTTGATACTGATTTTGTATTCGTAGTCCTTGAGAGCATCAGGTTTTCGAATTCAGCCGAGAATGAAATTTACGTGACACATAAAACCGTGTGAGATGAGATGTTGGAATTAATTAAATCAAAAACTCAAACGAGGAGTCATGTCGATTTCATCCAATAATGACGTATTTATGATAGAATCAAACTTAACCGGAAAACATAACACATAAAAAATCAACCAAAAAATAGTGTTATAAAGAAAACTTTGAGCTGTGAATATTATAAATTCGTACAATTTTATTGCTAAAGTGACTAGTAGAGAATTGTAAATCCTGTAGTTATAAGTTATATAAATTGTCAGAATAAAATGTGTAATCGTGTCTGACATTTAAACAACAGGCCCAACAGACCCGTGTCGCTAACCTCTTATTCATATCGCATCTGTGACAGTCAAACTGGGTCAAAGTCAAACATATTCAAATACATTAAACAATATTACTCTACATAATATCAACATATTTGATCATAGTTTAACCTTGAAATTGGGTCAAGGTTATTCATTTGTACAAATTTGATAACTCATCACCTGCGCATATTATACTAAAGACCAAACATCATGATTCTAAGCATCTAGGTTTTTCAGAAGAAGTCATTTAAAGGTTTTAACACATTTTAGTTCTTCTTTAATTTTGAAAGAAAGTTACTGTAATTTATTTAAACGAACTTGATAGCCGTCTAACCAGCATGGCACTGGCAGATTAGTATGCCCTATAAGTTTTTTTCAGTAGTAGTCTCATAAAAAGAAAACAAAATTGACTGCGGAAGGCGGACTAACGGACGACCAATCGCTTAACCAACCACCAAGGCCGCATTCGTTTATTGCGACCCAAACAGCTGAACCGGTTGGATCAGAGTTTTTCGTTTATGAAATAAGGTCGGACCTACTGAAGTAATCTGATGCTGCTTTCAGCGAGCCTTGACAAAGCATTGCAAGGCCTGCATTCAGACAACCCGGTTGAATCGGATATGAGAAAGGGGCCCCAAGATTTAAGTTCGCTTGCCCTGTTTATAACATGTTTATAATGCTATGCATACATTCAAACGTTCAATTGCAAAAACTACATACATTCTTATAAAAGCACCATATAAGATAAAATTGCTTAAAAATGCAATGCATGTATATACAAAATAGCAACTGCCTCAGAGCATAGATATTTGACGCTATGATATTTCTTACTAACATTTTTTGAATGCCTCATAAATACTTTATGAATATATATATTGAAAAAAAATGTATAGGTTAATTGATTAATTCTTAGGTATTTAAAAGATGCAAAAGTATGGATTTATCATAACGTTTAGTACTTATACATCTGAGGCTAAGAAAACATTTACTCTCCCCTTTATCCTCCGTAATCATACATACACATTCACAGAGAATATCTCAATATCTGTTTAATGTATCTAAGACAGGTCTACTTAACACAAAACCCACCTCAACACACCCCTCCTAAGATCTACATAAGGAATGAACGGCATTTTTCAATGTTCATGCCGGTATGAACGCAAATCATCTACATACACATATTCCATTGATACTGGGTGTGATATGGAAAAAGGCGTGTTTTATTCTGTTTATTACAAACTTACTAATAAAAGCAACTATCTTATGATCTATTTTTCTTTTGAAATATTGAAAAACGAAAATTTTCCAAAAGGGGTGTGATACGGGTTTTGCGGGCTGATACGGGTTTTGGGGTGTGATATGGCGAGGGCTGATATGGGTTAGAGCAATTGTGTCGTATCGCATATACAAAGGACCCGTTTTTATTAGTAAGTATGTAATAAATGGATATATTCACTGGATAACATACTAAACACAGTACATTATACAATTATGGACTTTTATGCTGGTGAAAAGCCCATAACTGTTTTATTATATACTTCAACAATGAATTAAAAAAAAACCTCATGGTTCTGATCTTTTACGCGAGCCTCTGTGTAAAATTTAGGCAGGGTTGAATCCAACAGTTCAGCATCGTAGCTTTCGAAGACATCGTTAAGATCATTTTCCTTAAAATAAGCATGGAGGACACACACTGTGTATTCGGCAAATTACTACCAAACGAAGTCAAACAGTCTATTTCGGGTTTACCAACGCCACCCAAAATTTCGGAGGTGATTTAATCAAGACCGCCAAAGGTCCTGGATTTCGAAAAAATAAGGTTGTTCGATATCTGGGATGTAACATCCATGTTCGAGGTCATGTAAACTAAATCAATGCCGTCCTATATCTCGGATTTACACCACCACCACCACTGTCTCACCTCCGGTACTCTCTGGGAAAGATAAAAGTAGAATTGATTCACCGGCAGGAATTTACAAGTTATAGCTACATGGATCTGAAGAAAATTAGGAATTTCCTGATATGAAATTAAAAATAACAGAAATAACTTTATAAATAAACTTGTGTTTTTCCCATGAGCATAGCCGGAAACAGAACTGGAGCTTTCGATACCATGAACCCTAGACTTGCGCAAGCTCCAAATATAATGTAGCCAGGCACTGCGATACATTATACAAGGTGAAACTTATTGGGAAAAAATGACTTAAAAGTATAGTTTAATCATCTATATCTTCATATTTTTTACATACCATTGTTTGAAATGTTATCAAAGCCGCCGTTCCCCATTCCTGGCTGATTTTGGGAGCTGTAAAAAATAATAAAAAAAAGCGTATTAATGAAATGATCGACTTATATGCGTGTATGATGGTAGAATATATATTGATGCTAGAGTTAAGGCGACATACTACCTTACACAGTAAACCTGTGTTTTGTGTTAGAGTTAAGGATATATGCCACGTTACGATTGATGCTAGAGTTAAGGCGACATACTACCTTACACAGTAAACCTGTGTTCTGTGTTAGAGTTAAGGATGTATGCCACGTTACGATTGATGTTAGAGGTAAGGCGACATACTACCTTACACAGTAAACCTGTTTTTTGTGTAAGAGTTAAGGATATATGCTACGTTACGGTTGAGGTTAGAGTTAAGGCGACATACTGCCTTACACAGTAATCCTGTGTTTTGTGTTAGAGTTAAGGATGTATGCCACGTTACGATTGATGTTAAGAGTTAAGGCGACATACTACCTTACACAGTAAACCCGTGTTTTGTGTTAGAGTTAAGGATGTATGCTACGTTACGGTTGAAGTTAGAGTTAAGGCGACATACTGCCTTCGCGCCGCCTGACGTAAATACATGTATTGGCTGTGCGCAAAGGGAGCTGATAATTTGTTACAGCTATAATTGGACCTAAACTAAGGTGTTAAATTCAGATTGATTTTACACGTTTAGGAGTTTAGATCAACTTTCGGTAAAATTGCCTTAAGTTGATCTAAACCCCTTAAGCGTGTAAAATTATTCTGAACACCTTAGTTTCGATCCAAATATAGCTGTACAAAATTTTCGAGTCCCTGTGGTTATGTGAACAGAATTTGTACACTATTAATTGAACCGCTTTAACCATTACATGGATTTCATATAGCTATACTGTAGGCTTCACCACTCATTAAATATATTTATTTAAGATGGCCTCACGCGATGTGAGAACACGGTGCTTTACTGTTAAACTGACATTATATGAGAAACTATCCCAGAAGGTGACGATCGATTATAATGATTTGCATGTATATATACTTGAGAAATAAATCCTGTGTAACGTAGCATACATCCTTAACTCTAACACAATACACATGTTTACTGTGTAAGGTAGTATGTCGCCTTAACTCTAACATCAATCGTAACGTGGCATACATCCTTAACTCTAACACAAAACACGGGTTCACTGTTTAAGGTAGTATGTTGCCTAAACTCTAACCTCAATCGTAACGTAGCATACATCCTTAACTCTAACACAAAACACGGGTTCACTGTTTAATGTAGTATGTCGCCTTAACTCTAACATCAATCGTAACGTGGCATACATCATTAACTCTAACACAAAACACGGGTTCACTGTTTAAGGTAGTATGTTGCCTAAACTCTAAACTCAATCGTAACGTAGCATACATCCTTAACTCTAACACGAAACACGGGTTCACTGTTTAAGGTAGTATGTCGCCTTAACTCTAACATCAATCGTAACGTAGCATAAATCCTTAACTCTAACACAAAACACGGGTTTACTGTGTAAGGTAGTATGTCGCCTTAACTCTAACATCAATCATAACGTGGCATACATCCTTAACTCTAACACAAAACACGGGTTCACTGTTTAAGGTAGTATGTTGCCTAAACTCTAAACTCAATCGTAACGTAGCATACATCCTTAACTCTAACACAAAACACAGGTTTACTGTGTAAGGTAGTGTGTCGCCTTACCTCTAACATCAATCGTAACGTAGCATACATCCTTAACTCTAACATAAAACACGGGTTCACTGTTTAAGGTAGTATGTCTCCTTAACTCTAACACAAAACACAGGTTTACTGTGTAAGGTAGTGTGTCGCCTTACCTCTAACATCAATCGTAACGTAGCATACATCCTTAACTCTAACACGAAACACGGGTTCACTGTTTAAGGTAGTATGTCGCCTTAACTCTAACACAAAACACAGGTTTACTGTGTAAGGTACTATGTCGCCTTAACTCTAACATCAATCGTAACGTGGCATACATCATTAACTCTAACACAAAACACGGGTTCACTGTTTAAGGTAGTATGTTGCCTAAACTCTAAACTCAATCGTAACGTAGCATACATCCTTAACTCTAACACAAAACACATGTTTACTGTGCAATATACATTTATTATTCAAGATATAAGTTCGTAACAACACGAAGAAGTGGTTAGGGACCATGATCTATTTCTGGATGTGATATTCTAGCTTTATTCAGAGTTGATGTAATCTGTTTTTGATAGTGGGTGATTCATCTGCCACAAAACACACGATATACAGGAAAACCCTACTTTCGTTATGCATTCTCACGCCTATTATCAATGTTAACAAACACTTTTAAGCGTAGAATGACCTCTGTTTGTGTATCTACGCCAAGGGTAATATATAGAATACAACTGCCTCTTTTATCACCTATACCGGAAAAGGATTTTTTCTCCAACGAAAAGCATGTGCTATATCTAAGTGTTATTTTATCAAAGATTCATATTTGAGAAAAATGAGCAATTAAAATATTCTTCAAGGAATAAGTGAAATACTTAAAACAAAAAACAAGTCTGCATACGTCGATAAGCTACGCTTCGCTTTGCTTTTTGTTTGACGATAATTAATTTTAATTGTAATGCTGGGTGCTTTCCTTAGACCCAGTATTTACTCCACAAAATGAGCTTTGACACGTAGGTTTGAAATGACACATCTATTTGACATGTGTTTTGAACCCTCAGACTTCAGGGAAAATGTGATTTGATATCTGAAATTGTTAAAGGTCAAGGATCAGCTGAAAACCCTGATACTTAGCTAATCCAGACCCAGTAACCAACGTTGCCGCTTTTGTTTATCGCGATCCAAACGGTTTGACCGGTTGGACCAGAGTTGTTCGTTTATGAAATAAGGTCGGACCTAGTAATCTGATGCTGCTTTCAGGCGAGCCTTGACAAAGCCTTGCAAGGACTGCATACACTTTTGCAGGTCAGCCAGGATTTATACCCGAAGTTATTATATTTAAAAATAGTCAAATCGGTTGTTCCGCATAAACGAACAGTCCCCACCACATCAGTCATTCATTTCAGTTGTTGTAAATACAATTTTCTTATGGTTTCATACAAAACAAAGCTCTCATCTTACCTCTCTAGAGCCTTCTCCAGTTCCTTTTCGTCTTTCAGTTGGTATTTGGCCATCACCCGTTCGATCTTCTTGTGACTGGCACGATAAAGACAGAGGCCGCCCGAGAGGATGGTTAAACACAAAGCTACCATCATCAACAGTATGACAACGTAGGTTAGAATCTCACAGGGAGCTAGAAAAAAAGACGTCTTCTGTCACTCTTCAAAAGAAAATTCAATGAATGGCATCAATTGGTTAAACATTCGATCATATTATAAGACTCTTTCATGCCAAGGGGTGTAGAATATGGAAATTCCACCCGAGGGTTTTTCAAATTTGGAGGAGTTTTGCCAAATTTGAAAATCCCGAGGGGGGATCCTACACCCCTGGGCACGAAAGAGTATTTTTCTCTCATTAAAACCTGTATTTGTCATGGCAAGACCATTGATTGTGAAGGGATTTTGCAGTATGGTATCATTATATGTTTTACTCATATATGAATTTACATTTACTGTTTAAACTTTATAATACCAGACATTTTAGTATGTGAAATGTCCTAAGGAACTTAGGATAATACAATTGAAGTTTTCACCCCTCTCATTCCCTGAAAATGTTTGGATCCCTTCCCTGATACCCAATATGATATTAAAGTCATCAGGTCTCTTTAAGATAATTAAGAAAATACGTCTCTTTTAAATAATAATGATGGTATGCAACACTGCTCCGTTCAAATGAATATCTTCCAGTAGCGCCAATATCGGATCACTTCGCCTTTTTCCGTCGCATACTCGAAAATGACCAAGCGTGGTCCGATTGGCGGTAGCGCGTCTTTGAGAATATGTTTGAATGGAACTATGTTTGCTTCTTACGACTGTCTCGTGTTATTCGCGGGGGCTTTTATTAAAAACACCGAAAAGGATTGATTATTATTCTCTTTATTTCCTCCTTTAAGAAGATTTCACAAACAGAATAATGTACGTACAATGATAAATATAAGATAATAAATATAAAATCAAATAGACGATAGGGCAAAATTAGTGCACAACAGAATTAGTTAACACCACAGGAATAGGTTAATCAATTTGAGTACAGTTTACAAAAGAACACATAATTAATAATGTTAAGAATGAAAGTAACATGCTTTTCTTTTTGACATGACTGTGTTTCTCATTAAATGATATACACAAACATATTGAATAATCATTCGAAGTATGCCTTCAGCATTTTGGAAATATGATTGCCCGATGCCATACGAAATTCTGTTATCTCTGATGTATTCAGTTGATACGTTATTTTGCCACCAATCAGTAGGTGAAATAATTCAAAGTCTGAACGAGAGTGTTGGTATACACTAAACATAAATTCACATGTATTAATGACTTGACACCGTTCGCTGCGATCGATTGTCAAACAATTTCTCTCTTGGCCTCAACCGGCCACATATGAATACGGCATGAAATACGACGCGAATGTGTATTTACAGATAAAGCATACCGGATATAGGGCTCATTTTCAATCGAAATAACGTTTAGCAGGAAAGCATAACACAGATTAAATAAAATTATATAAGATAAAAGTCTATTATATCTATTATAAACTTTTATCAGATATCTTACATACATTGTAATATACAAACGATATTTCATAAACGATATTAACCTTATAAATGATATGCGGCCTCATTATGTTTTTCTAATATTTCTGCAAGACACACATCTATATATCACAAAAAGAAAGAAAAAAACCTATTTTCTTAATAAAAATGGAATTCTTTAAGCTGATATCGCTTCAATATTCTGGTTTGGTTTGTTTGTGTTTTACGTCGTATTTAAAAACAGCTATGGTCATTTAAGGACGTGCCAGGTGTTGATGGTGGAGGAAAGCCGGAGAAAAACCACCGACCGATGGCAAGTACCTGGCGACTGCCCCACGTAGGGCTCGAACCCGCGACTCAGAGGCGGAGGGCTAGTGGTAGCAGAATGTCGTACGCCTTAACCACTTAGCCACCGCGGCCCCTTTAGTAATCTGGTTACATGGTGATCTCACGTCATCATCAATGCGTTGAAGTGATTTCTTAAGCAAATAACAAAGAAAAATGGAGCCTCATTAAAAGTTAAAAACTGTTGCTTAAAAAGTACATACGTTTGCATTCACCTGGGATGTCTTCACATGTAAGACGGCAGATATTGTCAGCGGCACAAAACAGGTTCTTCCCACAGGGAGAGAATACTTCGTCGCAGCTAGCCATTTTTATTATCTACTGAACGGATATCTTCATATCGTGTACTCTAAAATTAGATGTCTGGTTTTCATTCTCGCTAATTATAGCGACAAGTCACATGTTGACAAAGTTACGTCACGTATTCATAAATATTGGGGATTTTTATGTACACGCGTGCTTGATGATGATGAAATGAGAAGTATTATAATATTTTTTTGTGCATTACGTAACAAATACATTAGGCACATAGGGCCACAAAATTTTAAAACTACTGAAAACAGAAGGTGAGAAGTAAGAAAACACAGTATTGTATGGTAGTTCATATCTATAAAGTGTCTTTTAAAAAGGCAATATACTATGTGAAACTAAAAAAGACAAACATTATAATCTGGTTTGTAACAAGTGCTTGAAGCAATTAACCAACCCAAACCTCACCCGACCCCATCCATACCCGATTCCGATTTACTGTTAACATGTTTAATTAATAAACAATTTAAAATCATTGATTTTACAATCCGATGTGTAAAACAGTTGAATTTTCAAATTCCTCTGTCAAAGAGCGAAATATACTACAGTGAAACCTGTCTACACTGTACACCAGCCTCTCTTAGAGAATAAAGTACTACAGTGAAACCTGTCTACACTGTACATCAGCCTCTCTTAGAGAGTAAGATACTACAGTGAAACCTGTCTATACTGTACACCAGCCTCTCTTAGAGAGTAAAGTACTACAGTGAAACCTGTCTTCGCTGTATACCAGCCTCTCTTAGAGAGTAAGATACTATAGTGAAAACTGTCTATACTGTATACCAGCCTCTCTTAGACAGTAAAGTACTACAGTGAAACCTGTCTATACTGTATACCAGCTTCTCTTAGAGAGTAAAGTACTACAGTGAACCCTGTCTATACTGTATACCAGCCTCTCTTAGACAGTAAAGTACTACAGTGAAACCTGTCTATACTGTATACCAGCTTCTCTTAGAGAGTAAAGTACTACAGTGAAACCTGTCTATACTGTACACCAGCCTCTATTAGAGAGTAAAGTACTACAGTGAAACCTGTCTACGCTGTATACCAGCCTCTCTTAGAGAGTAAGATACTATAGTGAAAACTGTCTACACTGTATACCAGCCTCTCTTAGAGAGTAAGATACTACAGTGAAACCTGTCTACACTGTACACCAGCCGCTCTTAGAGAATAATATACTACAGTGCAACCTGTCAACACTGTACACCAGCCTCTCTTAAAGAGTAAATTACTACAGTGAACCCTGTCTACACTGTCCCCCAGCCTCTCTTAGAGAGTAATATACTACAGTGCAACCTGTCAACACTGTACACCAGCCTCTCTTAAAGAGTAAATTACTACAGTGAAACCTGTCTACACTGTAC